TTGTTTCCGATTTTGATGAAACTTCTAAATCCTATCGGACTACTTTAATTAAGCAAAAGGGTAGCGAAAAAGACTGACGGGTTGCAGATATTATATCTATAATACAGGGGCTTGAAATTTTTCTTTTTCTTTCGTAAGAGTCTTTTGGTTGATAAAAAATATATAAATTACTTTTTTTTTTAATCGGCAAATAATATATCCTATTTATTTTTTTTTCGTGCTTTAAGATAGAGGTTGTTTCAAAAGTCAAACCAAATTTTTTGGCAAAGAAAAATTGATATAATAGTTATTTATGTCATTATTATTATTATTATTATTAGTAAGGCTTTTTGTGCTAAGCTCAAGGTTTGAAGGACGACGCGTAGCGGAGGCCTACAATTGAGCGAAGCACAAAAAGGCACTTCTTGGCCGAATGGCATACAATATTTTATCTTCAAAGTACTTTATATAGGTCAATTTAATTCAACATCAAAGCGACCTAACCTCACTTTTTTAGAATCTCATTTATTTATTAGCTAAAGATTACATTAAATGTACAATGTTACAATAATGTTACAATAATTATTATTGCTTTTAGAAGCAGTAATAGTTTGACAATACCTAGCAACATGATTTAAGTAGAAATGGATTTTTGCTATTACATTGAATTCAATTAATTCTTTAATAAATAGGTAGGTATCTAATTTTAATTTGTTTGGATTTTTATTTAAAAAATAGGTAGTTTGGAATATTTAAGCTGTGTTTAACATTTAATTTCACTGAAAACTTAAAGCAAATTAAAACTTAAAGATAATTTAAATCGTAGAAAAAGAATCGTGCATTTTCTTGGTTGCCTAACCTCACTTTTGTTTTATTATTCATATTTAATTCTACAATAATTTAATGAAAAATATTAAACATTAACAGTAAAACAAACAAATTAGTGCTTATTATAAATAAATTAAACCAGTTTAGTACGTTAATTTCTTAGAAAAGGATTAATTTGTGAAAACAATACTCCTAGAGAAAAAATCGAACTAATTACTTGCCTCATAAAATTTTTTATCGGCCTAGGCCATAACAAGGTATTTCTTTATCGAATGTTGACAAAAATAAAGTTTAAATTATAGACCGCGTGGAGATAAAAAATATTTTTACTTTTTTCTCAAAATGGGATCATTTTTTAGATTTTGAAACCACCTCTATCTTAAAGCACGAACAAAAAGATATAGGATATATTATTTGTCTATTTAAAAAAAGTCATTTATATTTTTTTATCAACCAAAAGACTCTCACAAAAGAAAAAGACAAACTTCAAGCTGCTGTATATCTGCAACCCGTCACTGGCCGAGAGTCTGTTCTGTTGCCCTTTTGCTTAATGATTTAGCAAAGTTTCATCAAAATCGGAAACAACACTTGGCGTGTTTTGCCCCATATGTAAAATGGCTATGGCATGCTTGACAAGCGACAGACCCGACTATTTCATTCAGTAGTCACTAATTATTAGTGACTGCTTTTTCGCTAAGACAATTAGTCAAATATGACTTATAATTAGTTATTTTTGATTTATTCATTTTAAGAGAGTACAATTGCAGTTAATTTTTAATACAATAATAGTCATAGTTTCACAAAATTGTAGTCTACGCGTACTACGCGTCGCGTAGACCGCGGTATGGATTATCTTCGTTAAGTTCCTGCACTAGTTAATTTTGTATGAATGGTACTTTTCTTTCTTCATAAGACGTAATACTGAGCGTTGGCTGACTTGAGTCAAGTCACTTGACTTTCAGCTGCGACTAGGCTATAGCCTATAGAAGCACTGTGAGGATCTTCTTCCACAGGCAGTGTTGCCAACCGTACCATAATTATGGTATTTGTACCATAATTTTAAAGGTCTTTACCTTACATTTTTATAGCGTACCACAATACCATAATTTCTTTTTTTACAATATTGTTTTAACATAATTTAAGTATTATAATTTTTAAGCATGCTTTGGCACCTAAAATAAATTAGGCAACCTTCCGATCAGTCCTGTCAGTACAGTATTAAATTTTTATAAACAGCTGCTGTTAATGAAAATTAATGTTCTAGGTTAGCAGCAGTTATGTTCTTTTCTATTCAAACTTTTGTTTTTCACCTCTGCGGTATTTAAGAAAAGATTTTTTCGAGCGGTATAAGAATTTAAAAAAAAAATATAAATTTTGAGCCCTCAGAAAAAATGTGCAAATACATAACTAAAGATAATTTATTCAATAATCAAGACTGTGATAAATGCGATATTATTTTTAATTAAAAGTGTTAATTTATTAAATTTAAAATAATTTATTATTTTTTTACCAAAGTTTATTTTTTTGTTTGTACCTTATTTATTTTATTTTATCCACAATCTACAATGTTGTGTGGATTGTGATTTTATCAAAGTTTGTGTTAAAATAAATATGACTTATTTTATCCACAATCTACAATGTTGTGTGGATTGTGATTTTATCAAAGTTTTTGTTAAAATAAATATGACTTTTCTTAATGTGCCTAGTTGTTTGAATTTTAAAGTCTTAAAATATACCATAATTGCCATAATATTTGTTTGGTGCGTACCATAATGTACCATAATTTTTCTAAATGTGCACCTCACTGACATGTCGCGACATGTCGTCTCTGAATTTCCGTTCAATTTTACTAACCGTAGCACGAGTAATAGGTCAAGCTGGATACTTTGCATTAAATAAATTGCAAACTTGTCGTGTTCTAGTTTTATTGCCACATCCTATGAGAATATTTCAATTCTCTGTTTCCGTTAAATGGCCCATATTTAAATACATCGAAATACACTTACAGGCAAAATAATCGATCCACAAAAATTTTCGATGAATTTCAATCGCAAATAACTTTTTTATTTGTGTTCGGATTTAAACAACTATTAAAGAATATTGTAGATAAATTAATGGAGAATCGCTCACATTTTAAAAATTATTAAAAAATAGACGTATGTTTATAATATACAGGTTTAAACAAAAAAATGTTTTTACCATAAGTTTAAGACTCTCTGTAGAGTGGCAAAACCGTATATTGTTCTTAATTATGTTTTAATTATCAAGTCACATCTATTTGTAACAGTTTTGTTTTTGGTTCACCTTGATATATTTATTTTTGTGGAAAATATGTTTTTTTTAAAACAACATTGCAATTTCCAATATTTTTTTTGTAGGTTGATAAGGTCCATCCATCGCCTATGGAGGGTGACAGTAACAGTTTTGTTGAATCATCCCATACTTGGACATGTCATATACGGCTTTCAAAAGCTATCAAATTGTTTTTTGTAAATTAATGTGTTAATTTTGAGGTGTCTTCTTACTTTTAAAAATGTATATGTCTCCGACTCATGTTGGATTTTGTACTTTACTTCTTGTGACGTTTAAAACACTTGCCACGTGACGGTCACATCGTGAATAAAATGGCTCTGGCAACATCAGTCGGAGACATGCATTTTTAAAAGTAAGAAGACACCTCAAAAGTTAAACATTAATTTGCAAAAAACTATTTAATAGCTTTTGAAAGCTGTATATGACATGTCCAAGTATGGGATGATTCAACAAAACTGTCACTGTCATCCTCCATAGCCTATGGATGGACCATAGCAAATCTTAGTTCTTTGTACAGAAAAAATATTTGAAATTGCAATGTTTTTTAAAAAATCCATATTTTCCACAAAAATAAATATATCGAGGTGAACCAAAAACAAAACTGTGACTTGATAATTAAAACTTAATTTAGAACAATATACGGTTTTGCCACTGCACAGAGTGTCTTAAACTTATATTAGGTAAAACACATCTTTTTGTTTAAACCTGTATATTATAAACGTACGTCTATTTTTTAGTAATTTTTTAAAATGTGATCGATTCTCGATTAATTTATTTACAGTATTCATTATTATTCGTTTAAATCCGACATTAAATAAAAAAGTTATTTGCGATTGAAATTCATCGAAAATTTGTGTGGATCGATTATTTTGCCTGTGAGTGTATTTGGAGAACGCTTAAGAGACAGGCACTTTACTGAACTCTCAACTTAAAGTTTTTACATCTAGAAGTAAATATTTTTTAAATTACATATATGCAAAAAAAAACAAAGAAATATAAAATAAAAACCTTCCATATCCCTTACACTCCTGAGAAATTAAAATTCAAATTTTAAAGCAAAATTAAAGTTTTCTCGACAAAATTGCTTTAATATGAAAACCAAAATAAAAATTTTTTTTTGAAGAGTGAAAGAATTAACCTTTCCCGAAGACACTTTAAGCATTCTACATTAATTAAAGCCATTTTTGTAATAAAAACACAATGACTTACTATTAGACGCAATGATGTAAAGAACTAGCACGCCTAAATTGCCATCCAAAACAAAAACAAGGCAGAAATTGGTGAGCGCATGCTCTTGTCTGCGTAGTAAACACATATCACAATTGTACGATTGAGGAGTGGGAGCTCCACTGTATCATTTTAACCCATAAAGTATATGTACATAAGGAAGTCACAATTGTAGCCACATGGAGCGTAAGGGATATAAAAGTTTGACCTTGAATTTTATATAATAAAAACTATAAAACATCAAAACATTATTAAAAATTTAAAATTTTTCACTTTTAATAATTAATATCTATCAGCCCAAAAGGTATAAATGTGCATATTGCTGAAATCACAATTTTATAATATTTTCAAATCTCCAAAAAAAGGAGGTACTTTAAAAAAAATGTTCGATTACGTCAGAGATTTTGCAAAAATGGCGGAAAATATGGAAAATCGACCTGTCCAAGGATTTTTTTGAGAAAAAAAGCCGAATTTTGCCGGTCACTGTAAATAAGAAAAATGTGAATTTTTTGGCCAAAACTCTTTTTATTCTTAATAAATACGTTTTGATGTGGATTTATTAAAAATAAATACTGCAGAGCTCAACATTTTTATTTGCGCGTACCTACCTTTAAACAAACAAAACACTTGAATTAATCAATCAATAAAAACCATTAAATATAAAAACAATTTATTGCTATGACAAAGTATACAAACAATTACGATAAATAAATAAATTCTTGTTAATAAATGTAATAAATGGAACCTGATCTTCTTATATCATAACCAGCTACAATATCTCCATTATTGTTGGAAATTGAAGTTAGGGCGGAAAAACCATCTGGAGCTGCGAAGGTAATATTATGACCAATTTTTTGTAAACCTTCTATTAATTCTGTTTCCTAAAACAAAAAGTATAGTTTTGAAAAGGTAAGTAAATTAAATTTTTGTCTTAGTCTCTTTCAATTCGGTTTAAACCAAACAAATAGGTACATACCGTTTTATATGTGTCTTCCATTTGTATTGCCATGGGAAAAAGTTGATGGTGATATCTATGGTCATTTATGGCATCTTGTAAATTCATTCCAAACCAAAGGTGTTTTAAAATTACCTTTGGGAAATTTATTGCTTTTATTTCATAAATAAATTAAAATGACAAGGTAAATGACAAGCATTCTTATACTGTAACATGTTATATATGCATATATTGACGATGTTAATATATGCATATATTGACGATAAGCTTAAATAATGACATGCTAAACATGTTAAGTGACAAGTTTAAATAATAAAAAGTTTAAATAATGACAAGATATAATGGTAAAAAAGTAAATGATGAGCTGAAGCTAAGATGATAATCTAAGATGATAAGGTATGGCACGCCGTTTTACTTTTTAATGTCATGTTTATTAAAGCTAAATATTAATTCAAGTTGCGTTTTTAAAAATTGACTGAACATTTTAAAGTAAAAATTTTATGATGTCTTGGTATATTAAGTACACAATTTTAAGCACAGAATAAGAATTAAAGTAATTTTAATTCTGGAACTGAATGGCGTATTTTCTGACTAAAAAATTCGATGAATTAAAATTTGGATTGAGATAATTTTAATAAGGCGCTACTTCAGAAACACGCAGTCAAATTGAACCAAAATTTTAATTCATCGAATTTCTTAGCCAGTTAATTCAAGGTGCGCGACATTTATTTAAGAAAAAGTAATACTGAAATTATCATTATGTCGCAATTAATTTCTATTATTACTTGTCGACATAAAAATCAATTTACCTTTTAGAAATTAAAGTGATAAAGTTTCTTATTCGACACACAAATATTTTGCACGAAATATTTGTTTTAATATTTAAATGTTTTTAATATTACTTAAAATTGTATTTGACTAATAAGAATTAAACACAATTTTATTTTATTATTATTTTTAAAAATTTTAATATTTACTTTTAATACGAATTATTTTGTTGTTTAAAACACCTTGAAACAATTTTTATTCGGGAATAAAGTTGTGGTATAGTTGTTAATTGTTAATTATTATGTTATTTAAATCTAGCAATACGAATTTTCTGCCATATTTCTTTTAATCAGATTATTTTTTTAGATACTAAATTCAATGCTACTTGTATGTGACAGAATAATAATTCCTTACTTTTATTTTTTGGAATAAATATTATGTACCTCGAATTTTCTGACTGAAAAATTCGATTAATTAAAATGTTGGTTATCACTCGTAAACAGAATTTTAATTTGGCGCTAGTGCATAGTACGGTTGTGTTACGTACTACTGCCACCAAGCGAAATCACTTAACGTCGAAGGCAACGGTGCATTCAAATTAGTGCTGCCATTTTATTTAATTACCTGTTTTGCTTTCCTTAATTTCTTATCTAATTTATAAATTAATTTTTTGAAATAAAAATAAAGAAAATCTTTTTTACTAAAATATTGGTTTTTATTGACAAAAAGATAAAAAACAATACAATATTTTCAATCCACCATTAATTACATTCATTAAGTTTGTGGATTATTTATACTGTACTTACAGGTAGTCGGCTCGAACTCGTAACGAATAAGACAATTCTGGTAATTATATAAATATCTTCTTCTGCGAGAAATCCTATTGCATAGACAACTAACCAAATATTCAACCACAATTAAATTGAGAGTCTGAAATCCATATCTAAATTATTTCGTATAAAGTGAGGTTAGCCAGCAGGGCAGTTTTGTTGAAATGCACCCCTTACATAATTTAATAATCATAATCATGTCGATATACATTATTGATAGCACTGAAAATTTTGGACTGCACTGTTGCCTAATTTATTTTCGAGCTTATGTACTTCGACGTTATGTGGTTTCGCTTGGAGGCAGTAGTACGTAACACAACCGCACTATGCACTAGCGCCAAATTAAAATTCTGTTTACGAGTGTTAAACAACATTTTAATTCATCGAATTTTTCATCGAGAAAATTCGCCTTGCGCTTACAGATTTAAATCGTGTCTAATTTTTATTCCAAAATAAATATTCTACTTTAACTTAATTTTAAATTTATAAATGAAATATTATTATTTACATATAAGCACCTTTTTTACATAGAAAAAAAATATTCATACAACAAAAACTGTGGCTTTAAAATATAGATCACACCAGAATGATGTAAATATATTTATATATTTATCCAATAAACCAAAAAATAAATTAGTAGATTTTAATTTATAATTAAACTTAATTTAGTAATTTTTATGAACGTTTATATTTTCTAGGCAATTTTTAATTTTGATAATTTTTGTTTTGAGTTAATTTTTTGATGTCATTAAAAAGTAAAACGGCGTGCCATAATAAGGTATTATGACAAGATAAAATAAGACAATCTAAAATAACAACCAACTAAAAATATAAAAGAAGCTAAAATGAAGTCAAGCTATAATTATAACAGGCTAAAATTGCGATAAGATATAATTATAACAAGCCAAAATACCTTCCTAATTATACCTACATAGCGTTTCATTCAAACTGCAAAGTGTGCCATTAACATGATATAAATATTTATCTACGCCAGTGAGATAAGAACTTCTTATCCCACTCATGTTGAGTGAGATAAGAAGTTCATTAACGCACGCGTTTTTCTTATCTCACTGCTTTTCAACCAATCAAATAAAAAAGTCAAAATGTCAAATGTCAAAGGTGTCTGTTTACTTATAGCATTACAGCATTATGTTTTATGGAAATCATTGTACGCCCATAAAGATGAAGGCTTACAAACCTTGGAGAAACTGCTAAATTATGACAATATATTGTTATACTTTAGCAGTTTATCCAAGGTTTGACAAATGAGAAGGTATTATAATTATGTTTTATGGAAATCATTGTACGGATCATAGAATAATACGCCCATAAAGATGAAGGCTTACAAACCTTGGATAAACTGCTAAAGTATGACAATATATTGTCCTACCTAGTAGTATGAATAAAGATTTCTTAACCGAATTTATTGAACTGTACCGCAGTCTACCGTGCCTTTGGAAAGTCAAAAGTAAAGAGTATAGCGACAGAACCAAAAAAGATAAAGCCTACGAAGCAATGGTCGCGATTTTTCGAACGATTTTTTTTGTAAGCTAAAACCGCCGCCACTGCAAGTAAATTAAGACGTTCTTCTTGCATGATTTCACGTTCAAAACTGACACAAAAATGCACTGTGTGTGTCGACAACGTTCCATCGTTCTGAACCGCACAGTTTTACCTGTTCGTTCCAAACCGTGCAAAAAGAACGATGTCTCTGGGGCCCTTATATGACAATACAATTCATTAATATTAGAACCAATAAAATGCCAGCATTCCATAGTTACGCATTTTATCTCAGCGGCAATATTTTTTATCATCTTGTTTACACGGTACTAAGGATTTTGACACTTTTCTTGATTTAACATTTGTTGTCATTTAAATTCTGTGTTTGATATATGTATATCAATAAAATAATGAATTATAAACTCTAAAAGATCGATGGGTTGGTGTAAACGATAATGAAATTAAGGTAAGTTTGAATAAATAAGGTTTATTAAAGTCTTTTTATATTTTAAAGCACATTTTAATTTTAAATGTCAATCTGACAATTTTTTAAATCCTAAAATTCATTGTATTTTCTCAATAAATATAACTCGTGGTATGATTAATAATCGAAGATATTTACTCATTGAAACCGAAGCAGCACATTTCACTCGTCCTGCGGACTTGTTATATTATGGGTGACAATATTATCGTTGCTAAGAAAAACAAATGTGTCGCTAATCGACATGTAGGCAGTGGCGGAGAACAATAGCCCTAAATTAAGTCTTAGACAAAAATTATAATAACCGTTTATTTTTTTATTTAGAGGCGTAGATAAAAATGTGTACAATATACGTGTGATAACGCTTTATTAACGTAGGTACTTGTGTGCAAATTTCGCATGCGTACGTTAATATAGCTCTTATCCCACTTATATTGTTAATAACTATTATCTCATGGCCATAATTAAAATTAGTTTTCTTTCAAAATGTTTTCAAATGGTTTAGATTAGAGACCTTAGTTTAGATCAAATATTGCGTTTTGAAAAATAGCTCCTTATTTATTCCCTTTGAATTTTAAAGCAAGATATGTTTTTATACCGTTTTTGCTACAGTTAGCTGAATGTAAAACAAGTTTTAAGTGGGGAAGCCAATTTACCATTTTAAACATTTAATAATACTCTCCAGTCTCCTAGAAACTGCGTTCATAACAAACCAGTTTATTATTGATCTTTAAAAACTGTTACGAATACCATTTATGTGCAAATTTTAACCGTTGAAATTCTACACCATAGTAAAAGGTTAAACTAATGACAAAAATGCGTTTGACAATAGTGTTATTGTGGCATGTACTGTCACTTCTCCAGTCAATTAGCTGTGAAAGTGAAATGGATAAAGAAAAAGTTGTTCCCGACGTAATAGATACCGCTCCCAAGGACGTCCTTCAAGTCTCCTACCCCAACGGAGTATCAGTGAGCAACGGCATGGTGCTAACTCCAACAAAAGTGAAGGATCAACCCAAGGTTACGTGGAGCAGTGAAGAAGGCAGCCTTTACACTCTTGTAATGACCGATCCGGACGCCCCCAGCCGCAAGAACCCCAAGTTCAGAGAGTGGCACCACTGGTTGGTGGTGAACATCCCCGGCAACGACATCACCAAAGGTGACATCTTATCGGAGTACATAGGAGCAGGCCCACCGAAGGACACTGGCTTGCACAGATACGTTTTGCTCGTCTACAAGCAACCAGGCAAGCTAAATTGCGATGAAACGAAGTTGAAGAACAATTCCGGGAAGAATAGAGGCAACTTTGCCGTCAGAAAATTCGCCAAAAAGTACAATTTAGGCGAGCCGATTGCTGCCAACTTCTACCAGGCCGAGTATGACGACTACGTTCCGAAATTGTATGCCCAATTGAAGGACTAGATTCTGTATTTAATATGTAGTTATTAACTAATAAAGATTTTTTTGATTTAAATTGTTTGTTTATTCACTTGGAAGAATTTAACCTTCAAAAACTTTAAATACCGAAATATATTGGTTATCATCAGTGTCGATCAACTTGGTGTAGTGAAACACAGTCAAAACAAAAAAATACCTGAGCTTATATACTGCCCACGTAAGCCAACCGAGGCGAGATGTAAGATCCACACCGTCTGAAGACGTGGCCTTTGGCTCAATCGGTACATACTATGCAACCAAGAATGTATCACATACTATATCGCCTAAAGGAATCTACAATTAGCCTACAGTAAGTTAAACATTTAATTTTCTTAGTTACTTTAAAAAACTTACTTGACCCATTACTGGTATTACATCGAGATCTCGCCTCGGTTGGCTTACGTGGGCAGTATATAAGCTCAGGTAGTCTTTTCTTTTTAGTGTGTTCCACTACACCAAGTTGCCCGACACTGATGAGACCCAATATAGGTCGAAACAGCTGTCTGTCGGTATTTAAAAACTCTGGTGAAGTAAAGGTTCAATTCTTTTAAATGATACCAGTAATGGGTCAAGTAAGTTTCTTGAATTGAATGTTTATTCACTTAGCTTGCTTTTAGCTTGTTTTAATTATAGAGGACCCAATTTAGCTTGACAAAGTTATCATTTTAACTCGTCAAAAATCATAAATCCCTACCATTGCTACAGACGTTGTGATTTTAGTACCACCAGCAGCTCCAGCGAGCATTCTGACGTTTTTGTCCTTTCCAACGACAATGGTGGGAACCATGGAAGACAATGGACATCTACCGGGTTTTATAAAGTTTGCTGGTGATGGAGGTACACCGTAGTAGTTGACGATGCTTGTCGAGGAAAAATCGTCCATTTCGTCATTTAGGATGATGCCTGTTGAAGGTGACATAATGCCTGAACCAAACCTAAACGAACCCAAGAATTGATTTTCTATCGACGCTTCAGGAATAGCACACAAACCAAACGTATGCCTCAACTGTTTTATTGTGATTAATTGGCATAAACTTTGCTTACATAATATGGAAATATTGCATCTGTGTTGCTATAAGACTTATGTATACGAACACAACAACAGTGTATATAAACACTTTTCTTTTCGTTTTCTTTTGCAATAACCAAATACAACATGTCTGAATAATTCCAGATATTTATTTTAATCGCTACCATTTCTCTGTTAAAAATTCTTATTAACTCTTCCAGAAGACTCCAAAATCTTGCTATTAGTCTGACTTACTTATTCTGTCTTTTTCCGACTTAATAAGTCTTATTCAGGGTTTTTAAGAGAAACTTATTTTTACTTATTAAAACTTTTTCATGGAAAAATTTCCACGAGGGGTTGACAATTAAAATGTATACCGCCTTCGAATCGTATTGAGCAAAATGACGATCATAAAGTAAAATCGGGAAATCCGTTAATTTTTAAATCATACACGTTACTTACAAAAGATTTATAGTAGAAGTGACGGAAATCGCGTCACCATTAGGCGCTAGCACTGAAATATGAGCTGTTCCATGATCATCCGGTTGAAGTGTTACTGCACCGTAGTGAGCTGGGTCTTGAGAAGTTTCTGTGTCGCTAATTAGTTTTCGTATATCGTCAGCGTGACTCATCATAGACATATTTTTAACAACCTTAAACGTTTTTGGTTTATTAATGCAAGTATTTTTTATGCGGAACTACTAACATCCTTAATTTCGTCAGAGTCTCCAAGTAACGTCCTTTTTCCATACGCATACTTCATAGCTTCGACAATTCTTTGATTTGTTGTTAATGATTTAGTATTTTTGTCGATGAAACCGTGAAGCAAGTTCAGAAAAAACGAAAGGACATTCCCTGATCCTGGTAGAGGAGCTGTGTAAATTGTATCGCCAGTAAGAAGAGTGTTCGATGATGGATCTAACCATTTTGGCCTAAAAGTTTAGAAAGTAGGGTATATAAGCAGCATACACATTTCTGAGAAACTAAACATTCATTACCAACCAGTTTTGAACCATTTGCTAGTGTAAGCTTACACTATCAAATGGTTCAAAACTGTTTGGTATACAGTAGACCTATAACTAAAAGAAAGAAGCTCAATGTTTGGGTGCAACAGTGAAACTTACTTGTATTCCTTCATATCCTCCTCAGTAATGATTCCATTTATATCCTTGACAAAATTTTTAACCAAAGATCCAGTATAAAGTGCGTCTCCTCCCTCTATTGATATAACTTCCAATGTTTTTGCGTATGTTGGCATTTTGAATTTATCACCTTTTACATAGTGTTTGCCAGTATCAGGGTTAATAAATATTTTCCTACAAATATTATTATGTATCTAGAAAATCTTTAGACCACCTAAATTACATCATTTCTGCATTCATCATTATAACATTAAGTTTATCCTCAAGAACCCCTTCCAAATAACTGGTAACCAATATTCCTTCTCTACAAAGTTCTATCGTGGGTTGAATCAATTCTTTCCAAGAAAGTTTTCCGTAAGTCTTGTACAACTCCATTATCCCCTTTAATTGACTGGGTACAGCGACCGACAGTGGTCCTGTAAACTAACGGTTAACCAATAGGAGTTCTCTGTTATTGCGTTCGGAAAAAATACCTAGTTGAGAGGTTGATTCGTCTTTGAACATGTCTTGCGTGGCTTCTTTTGGTGCTGTTTCCCTGGCGTTCAAGAATCTGGTAACACCTGCAATGTTGTACATAGAAAATCTTGAAACTAAGCCAACTAACTACTACAACCACCTTTTTCTTTTTCATAAATGGTCATCAAAAATCCTCCACCAAGTCCATTTGCCGCGGGCATGGCAGCACTTTCGCAAAACATTGCAGCTATAGCTGCATCAGCTGCCGAACCACCTTTTTCCAACATTGATCTGAAATATCAATATTTACTATTTAAACTTTCATCGGGTTTTTAAATGATTTTGTAGTTTTTTTAAATTCAGTTATTGTTACATAAACAAATTCAATTTAGTTTGGCAACATTTAATTTTGTCATTTTAGCTTGGTTTGTCGTCCTACAGTATAACTTTTCGTCACTAATTACATATTGTCGTGCTCCAGTATAGCTTGTCATTATAGCTTATTGTCGTTATTATAGTAACTGTTGTGGTCATTATAGCTTGTCGTAATATATTATAAATTGTAGTCCTACAGTATGGCTTGTCGTAATTTATTATGCCTTGTGGTCATTTATTATATCTTGTTATAGCTAGTTGTTATTTGTTTAAGCTTGTCTCCCTACAGTATATCTTCTCGTCATTAATTTTAGGTTGTCGTTTACATTATAGGTTGTAAGTATAGCTTGTCTTAATTTATTATAGCTTAACGTCTTTATAGCTTGACGTCATTTTAGTTTTTCGTCATATCCCTAGACCAAACCAATAGATAAATATCTTATGTGGGATGTCGGGACAGTATTATAATATTTAACCAAGCGAAGAGAGGGCGCGGATTTTATAATTTTTTGACGGGTTGACGTTTTTGACCTTTTTGAAGTTTAATTATATCCGTAGTTATCGAATTTTTGTAAGATTTTGTGTATTTGTATTGTTTCTAAGGTTTGTATTATAATAATAATTTATAAACGACACTTTGACCGAATCATAATATTTCAGATGGTAGGCATGTATTGTTTAATAAAATTTATGGATTTAACCGTATTCTTCAATTTCAAAATAATAATCAATGAGACAGTTACTTTTAGTACACTATCATAAATAACAAAAACAATGTTTCTTACCATATATGAATGGTACTTTTAGTAATAAGTATGATAATGATTAAACGAGTTTTACAAATTAAAAAAAAATCACAGATTTACCTTAAATATATGGTAGAAAACAAAGTTATTGTTTTCGTTACTAATTACATTTAAAATCTAACCACAAGTTAGATTTTAAATATAGCCCCATTGAAGTAACCAATCAAATACGTTGATTTTCCACCAATTAAAAGCTATGTTGGCAACAGTTGCCTGTAAACACGTAATTTAATTTTTAACCAAGTTCAGAGAGGGCGCTTCATTTGGCTCCAAACTATATACTCTTTAAGATAGTCATCTATTGGTTTGGTTTAGGGTCATATCACTGTAATTATGATTATTATTATTGTTAATAGTATATACGAGAGATAATGCAGGCTATTATTCACAGGGATGAGGTTTGCGTCTCGAGCCGTCAGGCGTATATATAAACAAATATGATATCTGTTAACCTTAATTTTTCCCAATTTAAAACCCCATTGGTTCAAATAACAGTGAATATTGAAATCAACCAATCACTGATGCCTAACAACGTAAATTATGTTGAATATTCCCGTTGTTAAGACGGGTGGTTATATTGGTTAGGTACCATTATTTTCGAAAAAAAAACAAATACTGTCAATAATATGCAATAGAAGTAGAAACATTAGTTTATTTCAAATGCTTAGTTTTTTTGTCGAAAATATTTATTTTATTTAATTTTATTTTTTAAGTGGCAAAGAAGATTAAAGGTTTTTTTACTTAATACGGGATTAAGCGTTTATTTAAATTTTATTAGGGTTATAAAAAACTTATTTTTTTACAAAACAATTAATTTTTTTTTAATGTAATTTTTTACTTACCCCCCAATATTGGCACATTCTACTCCATTGGTGACCACAGATCCTCTGATTTTTTTGGTGTGACCATTTCCTAGTACGAAATATAAAGTTAGCCCTAATATTACTGCAGACAACACAGAAGCCGCCAAAGTAATGTACAAGTTCTTTTTTGCTGCTCGACTAAAAAGAAATAAAAAATATACTTAAAAAAATATTTTTGACGTTTATAATTTATTTTTTGATCTATTAGAGGTTCGTTTTTTTGTCAAAAAATTGGGGGGAAAATGTACTACCAACATAACAGAATAAAGCCTGGATAAACATTATTATAATCATAAAGTAATTAACCTTCGGATAAGTAGGTACTTACAGATACCATAAGCAATGTATTTACTTATATAACTGTGACATAAGTAAATAATAGTTATGACTAGCTTAAATAATTGTTAAGTATTTAATAGAATACAAAAAATATAAATCAGTTTATATAATTTCAAATATTTTGTAAAAATATCTTTTTTTTCCTGTTTAACAGAAGGTGGCATCAACTTTGTTATTTCAAATAGAGCACCACATTACATTATTAAATTCTACATAAAATTTTGAGTAAATTTACTATACCATGTCCTATATATATACCAAAAGTAAATAGTTTTCGAGTTATGCATTTTTTTGCCAATCATAAATAGCCTACAACTTTTTTGTTAATATATTACCTATAGGTAAAATTTTTCAACAAATTACCTGAGAAAACCCAAATTAGGCTAACTTGAAAGGTTAATTAATTACTTTTTATTTTAACGTTTTTACATAATCAAATGGTAAATTAAAAAAGCTTTCGATTGATATTACTATTCCCTATTCCTTAAGTTAGTAATTTCAGAGACATTTAACAATTTCTAAAATGTTAAATATTATTTTGTATCAAGGAACATGTGACGGGTGAGTTGACGGTATCTATGGTTACCACGTAATTTGTCATTGTTCAAAATTTAATGGTGTCATTTTTTCAGGTTGTTATAAACAATTTGTTGACTAATTAAGTGTTTTGTAACAACAATATTACTGATAACAAATAGCAGTCAGTGACATAAAAAACATTAACTAGCCAGACATTTAAATTTTATAATTTAAAATTTGCAAATTTTGAAAAAAACTCATTGGAGACTATAAAATATTAAACTTATTTTATGAAATATTTTACCTAATAACAAAAAAAATTCGTAACTGGAACAATTTAATAAACCAATATTGTTTTAGCAATTTTTATTACTAGGTAATTTATTAATAAATGTTTAAAGTGTCCTCCATTTACATTTAAGGATTAATTAGGATTCTTATTTCTCTTCTTGACTAAAATATTGTTGGTTTATTAAATTGTTACAGTTAAGCCAGGAGTGGCATTTTGTTCAAAATATTAAAAAAATATAGGTACTTAAATGGTTTAAACGCTTTTCAAATTTTTAATCAATATCTTTTTTATTTTCCTAGGAAAATGGACCACGAATGTGATACACACTGTATACTATAATATAAATAAATGATAATTGTATACAAGATTTTATTCAGTAAAATGTAGAGGCAGCCATATTTTGTATTAAAAATGCATTTGTTTTAAAAATAATGCATTATCAATACCATGTCCTTAAAATTATCATGTAAATAACTTATTCCAAATAAAAAACCCAGTTGACATTTACTGCCTACTGCCATTGAGTAATATGTAACATCTTACTCAATGCTACGGCTAAAAATGTTAAAGTACCTATAGAGATCGGACTTTTATAAAATTAAAATTGAAATAAGCCCTAATAATTATATACCCACTGGACGAGTAGGTCCATTGAATTTTCAAAGCATGGCGCCACAATTATAAATTGTTGACACACAAATGCACACAAATGCTATAGAGATAACGAATTTAAAAATAATTAAAATAACACAGAAAAATATTTTGGTTTCTTAATTCATTCTGCAATCTGTATTTTTCCAAATTTTTATTTCTTTAAACACAAATGCTATAGAGATAACGAATTTAAAAATAATTAAAATAACACAGAAAAATATTTTGGTTTCTTAATTCATTATGCAATCTGTATTTTTCCAAATTTTTATTTCTTTAAATTGAAATTAAGAGAAGAAATTTTATGTTCTTAGAAAAAAATCGTTTGCATATAATCCGGTCTCTAGTTAAGACATTTTGAAAGAAAAGATAGCAAAAGTAATTAATACAGATCGTTTGTTGCATAATTATTATTGAAGAATCACAAGTGATTTAAGTAGAACTTACCTTAAGTTAATCTTCATTTTTTAAACAATAGTGCGTTCTCATTTAACTAAATGTACACTTAACTGTTGTGGTGACTTTGTAAAAGCCTCGACAGGTTGCAATGCTTATCGGAAGCGAATAATTTTAGTTAAAGGTGTCACAAGGAAATTTTTCACCGCACTGTTTAGTAAAAATTCCGGTGTGACTATTTAATCATTTTTATTTATAACTGAACTATTGTTAACTTTATTACCTCTATTAATCGGAATTATTAATAATAAAGATATTTATTTTGGAATTAATTGATGTTTTTTACAAATCAAAATTATGAAAGTCATTTTATAACGCTTGCCGGAGATATCAAAAAAGATCCAACAATGATAACAAATTATTTTTTACACGAACTGGCTGGCCACCAACGTTCTACGATTTATTACTCCTAGACTTTTTATAGGTTTATCTAAAAGCTAGGGTCAATGTCAATAAACCACGAACAAATAAAGATAAGGAACAATATAGCATACCTATTGGTATTTTTGTACGAATTTCGTAAAAGGGTCTTTAATTTATTTTATTTATAAAATTATATATTGCTTATTGTATAATTTATATATGTCAGAGATTAACGAGGGCAACTGAGGGTTAGGCTGCCTAGATATTTTAAAAGAATGCACGACACTGGTTTTTAATAGTTATTTACTAAAACACGTAGTCAGATTAATCTGCACAGAACACAAAAATTAATATTAATCGTCCCAAACTAATTATTAGCTATAAAAAGGAAAACCAACGATCCGCGACCCGCTATACCAACAATAGTCAATCAAAAATCAATTCAGAGATTCGACTTGTCTCAATCGAACTCAAAATGACTCTGGGCTCGTTTCGTTCGCTAAGCTTATCGCCAAGCGGTTTCCCTTAAAAAAACATTTCACCCCTCCTAACATATTTTCTACGTCTTAAAGAACTATAACTAATTTGTCTAGACAAATTCACATAAATCATATCAACTAAAATAAATGTATCGTAAAACTTAGTAATAAACACCTAATGACATTCTCCACATGCGTGGGACTTTTTTAGCCTAAACATCGTTACAAAAATCTTATCAACAAAAATAAACGAAAGGGTGAGAAAGAATCATGAGCGTACACCAATAATTAATAAAGGCGCCGACACGGCCATTCTGACTAGTGCACGTCTTCGGGCACTCAATGGTCATCTGGAACGCAAAAGCCTAAAGCCTAAGCCTACATTGTCGCTACATCCGCTCGTCCATCCTGACTAACAAAGAATAATGCAATACAACGCGATATTGTTATTACCAATATGATTAATCAATAAAAAATAATTTTTTTTTTTTAGGAGGAAACCGAAGCCGATATACTTTGCAACTTGCAATAGTAATATCATCTGGTAACCAAGCTAAAAAATCATAAACCATCAAGAACATTGCAGTCTGGTGCTTCCACACCCCATTCAGTAGCAAACTGTTTACCATCATGTAAACCACAATATCACAGTAAGACTCTTCTTACTGGTCAACTAAACTAGGCCACATGCCTCTTCTAGTAACTCTTTTACTAGGACTCTAAACTAGGCCACATGCCTCTTCTAGTAACTCTTTTACTAGGACTCTAAACTAGGCCACATGCCTCTTCTAGTAACTCTTTTACTAGGACTCTAAACTAGGCCACATGCCTCTTCTAGTAACTCTTTTACTAGGACTCTAAACTAGGCCACATGCCTCTTCTAGTAACTCTTTTACTAGGACTCTACTGCAATGTTCAATCAGATAACTACTATTAATTAATAAAAAAATAAAAAATTAAAAGAAAGCATTATTACTCGGTTTGTCAGGAATGAGTGGATTCCCTTTGGCAGGATATTACCTATTTCTCTATTGTAATACTCGCCGACACAGCCATTTCATTTTCAGACTTAACCTTGCCCTTCAGTTACCTACATTAATAAGCTGATCATGCGCAAATTTAAAAACACTAACTTTACCTTATCGTTAGGTTTAATAACTTCATAACGATCATTTTCTAAAATCTTAGTGATTTTAAATCTACCTCGAAATTTACGATCTAATTTCATTCATTCTTTCATTTATTTTACTAGATACGAAATAAATAAAAAAAATTTAAATGGAGCTCGAAATTTACGATCCAATTTAGAAATCATTTTTTTTTTTTCATTTATTTTAATAAATACAAAATAAATAAAAAATTTTAAATGAAGCTCGAAATTTATTATCTAATTTAGAAATCATTCTTTAGTTTATTTTACTAAATACAAAATAAATAATTTTTATCTGAAGTTTTCTTCCACCCCAAATGTTTTAAATTAGTGTGAACATGATTTATTACGGGCCAAACCATTGACTTGGGTACTACAGGTAAACAAAGTGAACAATTATTTTTCTCTATTTTTTTCGGAACAGCATATTGTTTAGAATATCATATGTTTTTATTTTTGCAATATTAGGGTCGAGGTCGTTGCACTTCAGATCGGCAATAAGTTTTAAAAGGCTGTCATCGCGTTGTTGAGCTACTAGCAGCCAGTCTTTTTTGTAATTCGATATTTTGAATAACGTTAAGGGGTTTAGAATTTTTATCTTTAGGTACCCTCGGATTTTGAATCTTGTTATTTAAATTAGGAGTACTATGATTTCGAGACAAGAAATTATCATGTTTCATTCAAAATTTGTAAAAATGCCCGCCAGCGATGTGCACGAGGCGTAAGATCATGTTTTGTACGTAAAGACTTAAGAGAAATACAGTCCGTAAAACATTAAAATAATTTTCTAATAAGTATCGAAAGTGCTTGACAGCATTAACAACGGCTAATGTTTCGAGTTCGTAAAAGTGGTATCTAAACTCGGGGCCAGATGTTCGTTTACTAAAATATGCGACAGGGTGATTTTTGTACAAATCCGTATGAATTTTATGAAAATTCGTGTTTTCTGTTTCGCAAACTTGAATATTTAATTCACGACTACAAGATTTGAGTCCAAACGAACAGCAATATTTAATTTAATTAAATCATTTCCTATAATAATATTGGGCGACATAAAATCGTCCGGTACCACGAAAAATAAACTCTCAATTATTATTTTCTCAATCTCAATCACAATTAAAATTTGATTACTACATAGTGAAGAGCGATTACTAACACCCTGTAAAGTAGTTAAATTGCTTAAACGTTTACCATTAAATTTAGATGCAATATGTTCTTTCAAAAGAGAACAGTCTGAACCTGTGTCAAAATAAAAAAAAAGGAAAGGTCTCACCAGATCTAATCTTCAAATGACCTACGGGCAAGGACATTGATACTTTTTTCTTCCATTCTTCATTTGCCGCCTGAAGATGGACAGTCCGGAGAAATATGACAAAGGTTGGCGCTTCGATCCAGTATGATGACTAGAGGGAAATAGGGCCTAACGTTTGCCTAGACGCCCTTGTAACATGGTGCACATACTTTTTGCATCAACTGGTTTATCAGTTACCATTACAGCAAACGATTCGTCGTTTTCTCTATTTTTTAACGTTAAAATGTTTCTCATCGAAAATATCATTTCGTAAATTAATGCCACGTCATGTAAATTATTTTTTCTTGCCATTAATTGCCTCAGAAAAAGCTTCCAAAGAATCGAATAATTTTGCAAAGACTGCTAAGAACTCTGCTTTTAATTTACTCCACTGCTGTTGGCAGACTTGAGGTCGGCAGCATTATCTGTTTAAGTCTTTTACTTCTTTCGAGGGTAGGGTCATCACTCGTCACTTCACAAACTGCGTTATTTTCGTCACTTTCAATGTCCGAATATTGCACTGGCAGCCTTGATCCCACTTCTGATGTCAGAGATTAACGAGGGCAACTGAGGGTTAGGCTGCCTAGATATTTTAAAAGAATGCACGACACTGGTTTTTAATAGTTATTTACTAAAACACGTAGTCAGATTAATCTGCACAGAACACAAAAATTAATATTAATCGTCCCAAACTAATTATTAGCTATAAAAAGGAAAACCAACGATCCGCGACCCGCTATACCAACAATAGTCAATCAAAAATCAATTCAGAGATTCGACTTGTCTCAATCGAACTCAAAATGACTCTGGGCTCGTTTCGTTCGCTAAGCTTATCGCCAAGCGGTTTCCCTTAAAAAAACATTTCACCCCTCCTAACATATTTTCTACGTCTTAAAGAACTATAACTAATTTGTCTAGACAAATTCACATAAATCATATCAACTAAAATAAATGTATCGTAAAACTTAGTAATAAACACCTAATGACATTCTCCACATGCGTGGGACTTTTTTAGCCTAAACATCGTTACAAAAATCTTATCAACAAAAATAAACGAAAGGGTGAGAAAGAATCATGAGCGTACACCAATAATTAATAAAGGCGCCGACATATATATAAATTTATTGAACAGTTTTAAATAATTTAATCTGAATCAAAACAAAAACTGCAACACAAACTGCCACCACCACATCTTCAGTCATGTGATATAAATCCACCAATTAGAACCCCAATTCTCTCGCCTCAAGCGGCGACAAATAGACACGAACTATTATATTAGTAGGTATATAGTTTACGCTCTTGCGGTAAGTAGGATCTTCACAGGCTATAAATATTTCGCCTCTGTTCAGTCGACTCTCAACGCTGCAGCGCTGTAGTGGGTTAACGCGGTTTGAGCGTGGATTTTAATTTACCATTTATGCTTAGTATGATTGATTGATTTTTTACTTTTTATTGTGTAAAACTGTAGTAAAGGTAAACTTGTGACACAGTTCAACACGATTTTCCTCCCAAGAAAAAACAGATTTTAAAAATAAAGGTTAAACAAACGTACCCGTTATACAGTCATTCTTATTATTTTAACCTATACAGATTTTTAATTCTCTATTTTGTTATAAATCATTTTTTTTTATTTAAATATTGAATGTTTTTAAATAATACAAAAATTATACTACACCTACCAGTAAATAGTTTTCTAGATGTTTCCTATTAGGGTTACCTACGGATATGGGGGTAGAATGTTTGGAATCTTAAAACATTGTTTAAAAGATTCCATGTCAATTCTTTAACATTTTTTAACAAATTTTCCGAGAAAACCCAGGGCAAATAGGGCTAACTTGAAAAGTTATTTTTTTAACACGCAATCTGTCAATTTTCACTGAGAA